AATCCAATCGTATCAAAAGGCCGAAGAAAAAACATAGTTAAAGATTTTCCCCAAGGAATCAATGCAAAAGCGACTGGTATTTGAAAATTTTCAGTGCCGATAATCGTTATGCTACCTGCGCATACAAAGATGATATAGAGTTGGTTGGTTGCTTGCTTTGTTTTATGGCATATCAACATCAGTGGGTCATTTAATGGCAACAAAATTTTGATTCATAGTGATAGTTTGGTAAAAAGGTATTTATATATATTTAATTAATTCATTGAGTCTGATATAAACCTCAACAGGAATATAATATCTATCTATCTATGGACGGCCGTTTCGTCCTATAATTGGGACTCATCAGCAGTGCGCATCCACCACCCAGTATCGAAACCCTAACAGCTGGGTTGTCAAACGAACAACATACCAAATGTATTATCAAATGGACCTCTAATAACAAAGAGATTTCAAATCAGACTCAACATAGCGCCGCTCGCTCACATATTCCGTGGCGGAACTCGACTGAGTTCTCTGTAACCGTAGGAACTGTGCCCCAGGAGCCGCCACGACTATCTCACCAAGCCGCGCCAACTGGAGCATTAGAAATCTCTTTCAAGCGATGATAAACACAGATAGTAATTAGTAGGAGGTTTGATAATTATATTTAATTAATTTCGATTGAGTCTGATAGAAACCTCAACTGCTGATGAATAGAGGAAGGACTGGACGGCCGTTTCGTCCTATAATCCTGGGACTCATGTCATACTCATAGATAGATAAATAGATATATATGAACAGAACTTGAGATAGATAGATAGATAGATATTATATGTACCCACTGAGATAGATATTATATGAACAGATAGATAATATCATATATTATATAAACAGTTTGAGAAAAGATAGAAATAGATAGATTGGAATCGCATCCATATATATATATATATATATATATATATATATATATATATATATTAATCCATATATATATATATATATATATATATATATATATATATATATATATATTTTCTTGGATATATATATATATATATATATATATATTGTTTATATTTTTTTTTTTGTTTTTGCTTTAATATTCGGTTTCTATGTTTGGGTGGTGGGTTCGGGGTCTGCATGGATTGCATTTGACCTGCTTGCACCAGCCTGACTGTCTTCGTTTGGACTTAAAGGTCAATAAGAATATAATAAATAAAGACGGTGCCGAATCGGGGATTTGGTGAGAGTCCCACCCTTCCGTAAATCATGGCCCGAGCTGTGGTTGTTTGGCCGGTGAGGGTGTGATACGGTATAATTTCTGTACATGGATCACCAATCCGATGCCTTTTTGGTCAATGGAGCAAAAAAGTAGACCGGAAACGAAAAGTCAAGAAGCATATGTTCCCATCTGACACCAGATTATCTCCAGCCAGTAGAAGACATTTTTGAAGACCCGTTTCATTTAAGAAAGTCCAGGACTCTGAACCAGCTACCGAAATTGAGATAATCACATGCTGATTAGCCTAAATCAGTAGAGTCGACTAATCTTCTCACCGTATTTTTCCTCTACTTGGCGATATTATCGTCTATTGAAAAGAGCTGTCTTCTTTCAATAACCAACTGACCGAAATTAACATTTTCTATTCTTTATATATATATATATATATATATATATCTTGTTACAATAGATATTTTTAGTTTCTTGATTCTTGCTGGCCCTCCTAGCAACTCATACTGACTATCCTGACCGTCAGAAGAAGTTCCGACCGAATTATGTCATCTCCCTTCTGTGGATCTTTCAAACATAGCAAAAAAAAATAGTCGGAAACGCATATGGTAGTCACGGAACTAAGACCACACCTAGTGCCGTGACTAGCATAGGACCACACCCTAAGCTATAGGTTAAATAGCAGGGTAGACTTGATTCTCTCGCTTTAATTGACTGCCAGTCTAAAATGCTGAATTCAAAATTGGAATGATGACAACGGAAATTCTATTCTATTATCTTTTCATTCTTATCGGTAAATTACCATAACTTGTTGGTTAATATAATTGAGTGGTCCCTCGTAGCCTTTTCAACAGTCTATCATTCAAAGTATTCCTTCTCCTTGATTGGCTGTCACTCAGGCCTAGAGAGCTTCTCTGCTATTTAACCTGTAACGGGGTACAGAGATAGATTCCTGATTTACCAATAACTTAAATACGAAATTTGGTTTGTTGGTTGATTTTGTTTAACGATATATCAACCTCTGCGGGTTATTTAATGCTTAAATCTAAACATTTTGTACGTAATCTTACAGCTTCAACTAAATATATTTTGAAAGCAATTACATGTCTTCAACTACAGATAAAATGCATTGTTGGTCATTTTGCTATAAATAGATATTGTTGGCATTTTTACTATAAAAATATTTTTCCATACTTCATAGTGTTTTGTCTGGAGGTCCACTATTTGCCCATAGCTGGGACCCTAACAGGTGCTACCACCCCGGCTGAGAGTAAACCTGGGAACAATAGCAATTAAGAGGTGGTTCCACGCTCATCAAAGCCTCCAATCAACTACCAATATTTTGTACATGATTTTATACATTACTTGATAAGTAAAGGTATATTTATTAGATATACAGGGTGAGGCAAAAATCGCGCACTATAGAAGCTAATTAATTAATCATGTTTTAAATGTCTAATTTGTTTTGAAATGGATAAGTCGAAGAGGACCTGTTGAGTGCTCACCAAAGTCACCAGACCTCACATCCTTGGATTTTTTTTTCAAATCAGTTTTTTTTTTTTTTATCAAAGGCGCCCAAAAAATATTGAGGTACTTACAGAAAGAATTAAATATGAATGCAGTAAAATGGCAGAGGAAACTCTTCGACGTGTTAATGAATCCTTCAGGCACAAATTGAAATACAAATAAACCTCTCATCAACGGACTAATAGGGTGGTCCGTTAAAGACGATTTTCCGTAGAAGGGAAGGGGTTATTTTTTAGTTATAAAACCGCTACAGTAACTACTACTAGTTATGATCCTAATATAAATACCATAAACATGTATATATGCCACAACTAAATATATACGGAATATAGATGTATTAATGAAAACAACAAAAATAGTAGATTTCTCACAGCTATTTTCTCACGCACGCGCTAACGTATCGTACTTTCTATACTGTACACCCGTCTGTGTTTACTATTGAAAGGTGCGCCACCACCGGCAACCGGGCACTTTGAGAACTAATACGACTCGTTCCGCTAAGCCCGCAAATTTTGAAATACATCGCTGACGATTTGGAAGTTTTTTCCTGCAGATTTTTTTATTTTGCCTGCATATTTTGTCCGTTGCATCCGAAAGGGGGCGGGGCGTAGAGGTCTGTCTGTACGTTTTGAAAAGAAGGAGAACATTTTGAACAGAACATATAGCAATTAAATAACTCGTAAATAAGATTTTCATGCGTAATTATAGTTTTAATAAATTAACCCTAAGGTGCGCGACTTTTGCCTCACTCTGTATTGATCGCAGATCATAAAATGTATTGCTGATAATTTTACTATAAAACTGTATATATATATATATATATATATATATATTAGTGCTTCATTAATTGCCATTTTTGCTATAACCCTTTGAGGTCTGCGTTCCTGAACAATTTTAACCTTTCTGTCTGAGCTCCCGGGTCAAAATTCGCAAATAATTGGTATGTAATGTTTAACGGTAGATATAAAAAATACTAAAAATATAACTTTCTGGTTGCTTCCCTGACGATACAGGTTGTGACTAAACACGCTTCATAGTAAAAACGATCTTTTTTTATGCAAAACACGTCCACAAAACACAATGAAAAGGCGCGGATATGTTGGTATAACGTTCGATGACATCAGAATATTACGGCTTTTCTGATTGGCTGTAAAAAATAAGTCAAGTACTCGGAAAACACGACGCAAGTTTTTTACCCACCGTTCAATACCTCTGTTGAACCGATGGCTGGGAATTACGTCATTTTTCTCTACTACAGGTAAAGCGTGGTCAGAGATCAAAGAGTTTTAAACCTATTGTTGGGTCTGTCTATATTTCTGAGATGAGGTATTATGTACAGTATTTACATTAGTCGGACTATTGTCCTCATCTTTGTCGCCATATGAGCACTGGTAAAAATGATGCTGAAAACATTAGGTTTATAATACTCAGAAGTTCATACCCAGATGTCCTCAAGGACGCATGGCACAGTGGATAAAGGCGTTGGTTAGATCCAGTGACAGGAGAATGTGAGTTCAATTCCTGGTTAAGGCAGAACTTTCTGAGGAAAAATTAGCAGGAGATAACTGATAACTGACATCCATCAAACATGGCACGTGGAACTAGAACAGTCTACCACAGTGATCAAAATAAAGGGTTCAGTTCGAAATTCCAACCACCTGAAGAAGGCCGAAACGTTGCGACAAATATTGCGACAAAGATGAGGACAATAGTCCGACTAATGTAAATACTCTATTGTTGGGTATTTTATTATAAAAAAATTACTGCTGATTTTTGTTTGGGGTGTTGCCTATTTGCCGTGACCCTAACAGATGGTATCACCCCGGAATGCAAAAGTGAAGGTAAATGTAGTTGAAGTTTTTTTTAATTATAATTGTTTTTATTGCAATGGACGTGGTTGGAAATTGAACTCGTTTCGTTTATTCTATTTTTTTATAATGCTTACCATATTCGCACCTACTGTACCCAAGTCAAAATAAGTATACCCCGTCAAAGTATTTCAATTTTATTTCCAGTCATTATCGTAGCTATTGGCTAATTTTAGATTAGTCTGCCACAAGGACACAGTAATGAGAGCGCTGTTAGATGATCGAACTCACTATGAACTGGCCTGCAATGCATGCTTGTTCATTATCGAATAGAGCAGGCGCTTATAAGCATGTTTATATGTTTGCACAAATGCAGTAAAGATCTTAGTTCCCTTTCTTTGACGAAGCTAAAGATGTTCTACGCAAAATTCACGCCTTCCTGCTTCGCCCTATGTGTCTGCACGCATGCGCACTGCCAACATACAACTTACGCAAAACGATATGCAGCGCAAAAGGAAATCTTTGGTGAAAAAAAAAAAAACAAAATGTGTTTTTACTTCTGTTCTATCGATGTGAATAGCCATTCGGTGCCGGATTCGTTTAGTCAAAATGCCACGAAGGCCATATGTCCTGCGTTATTTTCAAATGGACACATTTAGGAACTGAAGCATGAAGCTGAATGCAAGCGGAGATATTCTCGCGAGACTGACGCTGTCAGCTATTGTTGCCATTGGATATTATCGTTCAACACGAGACTACGTTAAGAAAACACATGAGTGAAGCGGGAATTTGATATCAAACACTCTCCATTAAGAAGATGGCTGCCTCTTTGGTAATAATTCAATCGAAACAGAAGTACGAATAAAAATACCCCTTCGAAGAAGAAGAAAAAGGGAAGAACGTAAGAGAATGTAAGAGATAGGGGAAAATGTAACCATGTAAATTAAGTAATACATATGAAAGTATAGCCTCCCCACTTGTTATCATGTTAGTGAGAAGCCAGCTCGCCATGTAAGTTTTATGACTTACTTTTAATCGATTTTTTTTGTACTTAACTTCTAAATATTTTTATAGTGCCATTTTTTTTTTCGATGGTTCTGTTACCTAACCCAGTGAGAAAGATGAAGGAAGATGGCGGTTCATGAGCGCAGATGGGACGCCATGTTTGTATAAATAGCTGTTTTTCTCTTGTATCTCCAAAACTGCAGAATGTTCTACAACTGATGATTCCCTCGACGATAAAATGATCGTTTAAATGTCTGGATAATCTTCAGACCTTTAACTTTTTTTTTGTTTTTTGTCCTTTTTCTTTTTAATACAATACGATATTTTATCAAATATTATGCCACCCAAAAAACTGCATTGCTTTTTCTAACTCCCCACCCACCAAAAAGGAATAAAAGGAAAATGTACCATGCAAGGAAGAATATATTCACAGTTTGTATCTCACCATGAAAGGTATTATTATATCTTTGATATCGTAACACATTAATACATGAATGGAACAGAATCATTGAAAAAAGAGAATGACAAACAGGCATTATTCTCAAAGATATATACATAACTTGTTAATATTTTTTTTCGCACATAGAAACTATAACATGTATATAACAAGTAGTGTGAAAGGGAAGAAATAAGAGAGGGTCTTACTTGTAATATTTCCCAACGAGAAAAAAAAGGCAGATCGGTGGTGACCTTTGTTTCTGGTGAGACAATGTGTTTTTCTCTGTATGCCCTACCGTTGTGGGCTTGTGACATGCGTCTACTCCGTGGTCTACATAGCAACTGGCGTGAGCAGACCTGTCTTACCTCAGGGCGTACAAAATAACAACTGGCGTTTGACATTACAGACTAACGTCATTTACCAGCCGTCCCGTAACCCTCGTGATTTCGTCTCACCAAAGGGCAATCACCCTTTGCATTCATACATGAAAAATGGCTGGAGGGGGATATTTGCATTGGTAATGAAGATGAATAATTTAAGCAAATAATAATAATAAATTTATATAATCAGATAATTATTTTCATAAAATTTAATAATAATAACAAAATAGGATGACGACTCAGTTGCGAAAAAATGAATCGAATCGCGTGCATATAGAGGAATAGAGAAAAAAAAGATAAACAGACAGAAGTGTGACACCAATTTCGAAACATATTACACCCAGGCTTCTTTCAGTTGTATTTCTCATTCGGGCTTCTGTCGAAAGTGTTTTCATTTTGGGCCTTTTTCCCCACGTCACTCGATCAAACGTGATCAACTGGGCAAATACGAGAGAATCGGTGTCAGTGTTACTAACGTTCCCTGTGAGTGTGTGTTCCGGATGCTAGTCGGTGAAAGTGTCCCCTGCCTAATTGTCTCGTGTATTGTTGCGTTAGCAGTTCCCCGCTTATGCTTAAATTGTCACCGACATTTTCATTGCCAAGTTTTCACAACAAGATTGCATATCTGCACAGAAGCACTCCTCGACACAGAAGTTGAATTTTAACAAATAATGTCACTTTTTGATGCACGTACAGTTACATAATTCTGCGTATATCAAAGTGAACAGAATTACTGTCAATAAAATACTCAATGACTATCAGAGCAATAGAATCATTCTCGTCTCTATCTTGACGAATAAGGAATCCCAAAACTTTGAGGTCGACATCTGATTACACTATTTAAATTATTCGGACTATTGTCCTCATCTTTGCACAATATTTTTTACAACGTTTCGGCAGTTGTACGCTCCGGCCTTCTTAAGGTGGTTGGAATGTCGAACTGAACCATTTATTTCGCTCACTGGGGTAGACTGTTCTAGTTCCACGTGCCATGTTTAATGGATGTCAGTTATCAGTTATCTCCTGTTAATTCCACTCTGCAAGTTCTCCACTGCCTTAACTGGGTATTGAACTCACGCTCTTTGGCTCCTTTCACTGGATCTAACCAACGCCTTTATCCACTTTGCCATGTGTCCTCAAGAATAAAGGCACGTGAAACTAGAATATTCTACCCCAGTAAGCGAAATAAAGGCTTCAGTATGACATTCCAGCCACCTGAAGAAAACATTGTAATAAATATGGCGACAAAGATGAGGACAATAGTCCGTATAATGTAAATAGTGTACATAATACCTCATCTCAGAAATATAGACAGATACTGAAAGGCCAAAACGTTGTAATAAATATGGCGACAAAGATGAGGACAATAGTCCGAATAATGTAAATAGTGTACATAATACCTCATCTCAGAAATATAGACAGATACTTACGGCCGATTAGTTTAATTTCTTCTGGTAGAATTATTTTTAATATAAAATAGAAAAGAAAGATGTGTTGGCCATGTTAGTTTAAAAATGTATTATCTCCTAATAAACGTAATGAAATAATTGAATTCTTTAGCCAAGTGATGCGGTCGTATTAAAAATATACGCATACACATTTTTCCCTGTGTACATACGACCTTTCTTCTATCAGTGCGTTCGGAAAGTAATTATGTTTAACCAGAAGGACGATACTTATGGCAGATAAATCGATTTAAATCTTATTTCAACTTCTTTTTTTTTAAATGTTCAGCTATTTATGAAATTTTCTATTGATTGAAATAAATGAAAATCTATAGTTGCTAAATCCGAAAAATATGGAGGATGTGAAAGAACTTCCCAATTTAGCGATTTCCTTTTTTTTTTTTTTTGGAGAGTTGTCTGCTCTTGAATTGTCATGCTCGAGAATAACACCTTTTTCTGCAGAGTTGTCTGCCCTTGAATTGTCATGTTCGAGAATAACACCTTTTTCTGCAGAGTTGTCTGTCCTTGAATTGTCATGTTCGAGAATAACACCTTTTTTGCAGAGTTTTTTGCTCTTGAATTGCCACGCTGTAGAATAACACATTTTTGCTGTTTACAAAAGCAGGACAAATTTCACGTAATGGTTCGTTTACCAGTTCAATCTGCCGACAATTAACGGATGCAGTGACGGTCCTTCTATTTTCCTGCTCGTAAAATTTATGGTTAAGATGCAGGTATTGTAAGTCATTTATGTATCCGCAAGCGGCAGGATAATATCCAGTAATCATGTCCAACAGCCCTGCAGCGTTGGTGTGACATATCTCTAGCTTCGTCCACCAAGAGATCTGTTCTGCCCCGAACGTTTCCCTCGTGTATGCCGTACGTGTTGCTGCCACATACACTTGGCACTCCAAGAGCGCCACGGATGTGGTCTGAGCCCTCAAGAGACAATGTCGAAATGGCTATGACTTGTTAGGGGTGAGGGAACTTCAACCAGTGAATCGATGATGGCTACGCTCCAGAAGAACTATTAAAATATTGCCACAATCTATATTTTTGTCAAATATCTTGTGTGTTGCATCCTCCAGACTTTTTCTAATCGCGCGTTCCGAAATCACATATGTATAAATATTTGGATGTTTCCAAACGGATGATTTTTTTTTCATCAGAAATATTGTAAAATTAAACCTAAGTGAAATTTATTTAAATATTATTTATAAAAAAATATATAGTCAACCTCCATCCTCAACAGGTGCAGCCCATCGGGATGAACAGTTTTCGATTATACACTTCTTTGCTTCTGAAAGTTCTGCCATTTATGAAATTTTCTATTGATCGATACAAATAAAAATCTATAAATGCTAGATCTATTTACATTGTCCGGACTATCGCCCTCATCTTTGTCGCCATATTAATCACAACGTTTCTGCCGCTGTACGCTCCGACCGTCTTCAGGTTTTTGGAATGTCGAACTGAACCATTTATTCCACCTGACGGTCGAAACATTGTCAAGAAAGATGAGGATGATAGTGCGAACAATGAGATGATATATTATGTACACTATTTATAGTGTACATAAAACCTCATACACTATTCGGACTATTAAATTGCTACAGAAAAACCTTTCATTATTTACATTATTCGGACTATTGTTCTCATCTTTGTCGCCATATTTATTACAACGTTGTAAGCTCCGGCCTTCTTCAGGTGGTTGGAATGTCGAACATAACCCTTTATTTCGCTCACTGGTTCCACGTGCCATGTTATCTCCAAGTTCTCCAATGTCTTAACCAGGAATTGAACTCACACTCTTTGGGTCCTGTCACTGGATCTAACCAACGCCTTTATCCACTGGGCCATGTGTCCTTGTGACATCTGTGTATGAATCTCGGGGTATTATAGACCTGTCTTCAGCAACCATTTAACGGACATAATAATATAATTATATATTATAATAAATGTGCTGTGACCCTTTATGGGCGATAACGGCGCTCCACGACTACCTATGTCTCGGGAAACCATAGCATCGTTTTTCCTCTTTTACCAAGCGTCACACAGCGCTCGTTTTGTTATCCATTCACACAAGCTCGTTAGTCAGATTACCCGTTGCCTTCCTCTATTTGTCATGGCCTTAGAGTCTTAAGCTTTCCAAACCCTCCTTCCTCATTGTGTGTCCAAGATATTTCATCTATCTCTTTCTGGTTCTTGGTAATTCGATATCCCAAAGGCGTTCGACAACGTTTGGCATGCTAGCCTTCTACCAAAGCTCAAGGTCTACGGGACGAATATTTGGCTTAGTTCAATCATACCTAACAGATCGTGCAATGAAAATCGTGCTAAACGGGCACTCTTCCAGATCATTTCATACTAACACACGGGTCACCCAGGCCTCTATCCTTGGACCTACACTGTTTCTGGTTTTCATCAATGATCTTCCCGATGTCAACAGTTCCCAACTAGGTACTTATGCACAACCATTAATTCCTGTCTTCATAAGAAACCTGACAGACCCGGCAAAGTAAATCTAGTAACTGCTCTAATCAGTGGTTTACTAGGGCAAGAAATGGCTTCTAAACTTTAACGACTCCAAAACAAAACTGGTTTCATTTAATCATCACAGAGAACCTTTTCTGCCTGCCATCAGAAATGGTTGATGCTGAACTCAAGGAGAGTAAAACTCTACGCCTTCTTGGCCTCGCGTTTTCCACTGACATGAAGTGGGCTGACTATATCCAATCAATTGCTGCATCTACTGCAAGGAAAGTTGGTTCACTGTGTTGTGCCAGAAAATCTTTCTCGTCAGAATCCATCTTGCACATTTGTAAATCTAACATTCAAACATGCATTGAATATTATTGAAACTTTTGGTCTGGTGTTCCTGTTTACATCTCGAGAATTCAAAGGTTTCTGCAATGTAATCGATTCTAACCTGGCATCTCGACTTCAGTCACTTTCTCACCGACGTGATGTGGCTCCCCTCTGTTAATTCTACAAATATTTTCATCTTTTACTCTTCTCTCCTTTTCTTCTTCTTCTTCTTCTTCTTCTTCTTCTTCTTCTTCTTCTTCTTCTTCTTCTTCTACTACTACTACTACTACTACTACTGCTACTACTACGGATACTACTCCTCTCTCTTCTTCTGCTTCTGCTTCTTCTTCTTCTTCTTCTTCTTCTTCTTCTTTTCCTCCTCCTCTTCCTTCTCTCGTTCCTTCTTCTTTTTCATTCTTTACTCTTCCTTTCCTTTTTCTTCTTCTTTTTCTTCTTCTTCTTGCTCCTTAAACAAGCATTGTTTCTAAGTTGACCCACATATATTTCAGTTGGTCTCTCTCTTTTTAGTTTTCTGTATTTAGGTTTCCTCCTCCAAATCCGCTTAATCTCGAAGTCTTCTAATCCGTAATTATTTCATCAATCTTTGAGTTAAGACCAACAGATCCGATAAAGTTAACCTGGCAAATGCTTTCGAAAACGGCCTCCAATCAGTCGTTAACTAAGGCAAGAAATGACTTGTAAACTTTAACGCTTCCAAAACAAAAAAAAAGCTTTCATTTAATCATCACAGAGAACCTTTTATGCCTGCCATCAGAAATGGTTGATACTGAACTCAAGGAGAGAAACACTCTACGCCTTCTTAGCCTCACGTTTTTCAATGACATGAAGTGGAGTGATTATATGTTATCAATTGCTGCTTCTACTGCAAGGAAAGTTGGTTCACTGTGCAGCGCCAGAAAATCTTTCTCGTCAGAATCCATTTTGCACATTTATAATTCTATCATTTGTTCATGCATTAAATACTGTTTCCACAACTGGTCTGGTGTTACTGCTATAAATCTCGCCATTCTTGACAAAATCAAAACCTGTGTCTGTAATCTAATCGATCCTAACCAGTCATCTCGGCTTCGGTCACTTTCTCACCGACATAACGTGGCTTCCCTCTCTGTCTACAAATACTTTCATGGCAACTGCTGTGGTGAGCTTTTCTCCTTGGTGCTCTGACTACATGAATTTAAACGCGCTACTAGATTGGCAACTAGGTCTCATCCGTTTTACTGTTGAACTAGCTAGATGCAACTGTCACTTCTACTTTAACAGTTTCTTTTCTTGCACTTCCCGCCTGTGGAACTCCCTTCCGATTTCTTGCTTCCCTGATAACTACAATCTTCAAAAATTTAAATGCAACATCAATCACCATCTTCTGTCTTCTTCAACCGTGAGAATAGGGTGGATTGTGGAAAGGAAAAAAATCCTTTCCTCAATCCTCCCACTTCTCAGTCATAACATTCTCTTTCACTTTTACTTTCACTTTCACTATCTATACGCCCCTGCGTTCTAGTGACATTGTCGCTTTGCCTGGGGCGGGGGGGGTGAAATGATTAAAAAATGTTCTTTTTGTTACCATTTCCTTTGAGATCTACTCATTGCTTACTTATTCCGTCCATTTTGAGTTTTATACAGAAACTATTGGCAAATATGTTGCCTTTTTTTAATCTATAATCCGCCATTAGAACTTGAAATTTATTATCGGACTCACTGTCGGAGAGAAGAGACGATAAACCAATTCTATATGCAATTTGCTTACGGCCACATTACATTTAGACATTGGTTCCCGTACGATCACTGAAGTTAAACAACGTCGAGCCAGGTCAGTACCTAGATGGGTGACAGTTTGGTAATAACAGATGCTGTAAGCTTGGATGTGCGGGTGGTGTAATGGATAATGGCTTGGAATTGGAAGTTGGAGAACCAAGTGCCTGTTCTCGTTGGGTTCGTTATATTCACTTAGCGCAAATTCCCTTGGCAAAAGAATGAATCAACTCTTCTCTCCCCAACTATGGGTTAAATAGTATGAGTCGTATTACAAAACTCTTATTATCTTCAAAAATATTTTTACAAGCTAAAAAGTATTTTCTGGCTTTAAATAACATGCAAAGGGTTGATAAACCGTAGAAAAGGAATCAATCACTGAAATATTGATTAGATACACAGACATGTCTTTTAGATTTATTTTCATTCTCAGGAATATAAATGTATAGAAACTACAGTGTCCATAAAGTGAGGGATCATTTTATATAATGATTGTGATATAGAATTGATCACCGATTATAACTTCATGTTTGTTTATCAAATTCTGATTAGGTGTGAATCCGCCTCTTCTCACCCCAGTTATGGGTTAATTAGTAATACTTTTATTACTCAACCATTATTATCTAAAAAAAAATCTTAGAATCTAAAAATATTTTCTGGCTTTAAATAACCTGCATAGGGTTGATAAACCGTAGAGAACGAATCAATCGATCTATATGTAATCTCCTGCTATTCAAACTTGGTTCTGCCTTGGTTGTAATAAAAAAAAAACTGTATGTGTTTATTGAGTGAAATCGTAGAGCTGAGATTAAATCCCCGTCTGGCCTGCTGCATTCGCCTGCCAGCTATGCGTAAAATAACAGAGTAGACTTGGCTTTCTAGCCTTCGTCTACAAGAAGAAACATTCCGAATTCAAATTGTGGAGAAGTCAATGAAAAACCAATCTTTCCCAATAAAACATAGCAATTCCTAGATAATAAAATAAAAGTATCAATCGAGAGCCATTACAACCTGGAGAGACATGGCATTTTATTTATTTTGTTTTATAAAAAAAAAAAAAACACAATATGCGTAACACATTGTCTTCTTTTGGGGGAAAATGCCGCTCAAACCTCGGGAAGCTTTTAACGAAGCAGCTTTAAGTAGAACAAATCTGATATGACGACAAATCTCATTTTGCAAACTCTTGAATCGTTGCTCCATTAATAAGATATTTGAGGTGACTATGGTGTGTTTGAGTTAATTTCAGCAAACCTTTATAGAAGAATTAAAAAGTATTTCCGAAAAATTCATCCGTTTTACTCACAAATTTTGAAAGACAAATAACACTGGTTAACAAAAATAAAAAAAAAATTGCAATTATTTCGAGACACCAAACATCTTTTTTAGCTAATTTGAGGGCGCTGAATCTGAAAATGACCTTACTTTTTCTTGGTTAGTCACCTTTTTTGCTGTACAGAAATGCCTCACATTTTTAGCTCCTCTCACTTGATCTAACTAATGCCTTTATCAACTGTGCTGTATGTCCTTGAAAACCAATTTGGAAAAAAGTATTTTTTTCATTTGTTTTCTGTGTATATGATATTGACCAATGACAATATTTCTCAAAATAAAATCGTAGAATCCTCTGAATTCGTATTTAAACCAACAAATATTGTTCTGCTTACTGAGAAATACTATTTTTGCAATAACAATCAAACCCTAAGTCTTTAAAAATAACACGATTGAATATACCAAGACCAACAAGTATTTTCATCAAATCATTTAATAAACTAACAACAGAAATAAAACTTTCGTGAACATAAGAACTATGGTTAAAATTTTCTCTTTCTTGATTGTCATGTTCAATGTTATTTAAGTCCCTTTTGATACTCCAGCAGTATCATGTATAATGAAATAGGTGCATTCAATTGGGATGTCTTTATTTGGAGTTTCTTTCCAAATGTGAAAGCAAAATGCTCTCAATGTGCTTGGTTTCCTTCCGTAGTGAAGGGCTAAAAGTTATGGGATAAATTTATGAATATCAAACAGAAGATTTTAGGGTTTTATTTTTTTGTCACTTTAATTATTTGGTTTACTATAGTGTATTACCGATAAAGTGTATCAGTTAATTCGAATTTTGGCGATAAAATGGAAATATTCGGTACTTCTATTTTTAAATTTTTGACTAAAAAACACTTTTTCTTTTAAAAATAGTTTATTTCTGAAAATTGATAAGTTTCTGCGACCATTATTAACTAAATTTTGCGATCAGCCAATATCGGACATTGAACTTTTTTCCAAAAATGTGCAATTTCAGTACAGCAAAAATGATAGCTAACCATAAAAAACTAAAGTCATTTTCGGAATTAGTACCATGAAATTAGCTAAAAAATGTGTTTTGTTGCTTGGCACTAAAAATCGTGTTGACCAGTGTTATCTATCTATATATGTATGTACATATCAATGTCAGTACGTTGATATTTACCTGTCTATCTATTTATCTATGTACCTGAATAAATAAATATAGATTGTAAAGTCATTTTAGGCGCAAGGTAACATTGCTGGGGGGGAGAGGTTGTGTAGCGTTAATCGTGTTGACCAGTGTAATATTTCATTGGATAATATTTTTTTAAAAATGACGTAGCTTTGTGAGTGATTAGTTATTTTCCACCCTACCACCCTTTTCCTCATAGACGAGAAGTTGCTGGCTTTTTTCCATTGTATTTCTATTTTCATGGCCAATGTTCAAATATGCCACATTTCATAGATCCAAAAATTAAGACCTTCACAGCAGGGACACGCCATGAAACCTACACAGGTTTGAATCATTTTCGTTTTCGGCATTAAGAAGCAAGTTCCTCTAAGACAACTTCTCCAGAATTGTTAATTCCCAGCGGAAGGTTTTACCGCTGACTACCATCTTAAACATTTCCACTTTAGAGACAACCTACATCTATCCTACATATCCTCATATATATATATATATATATATATATATATGAAGAAATATAGATGTGCTATATTTATGGGATAAAGTGCTCAATATCAGAGATAGAGCGTGTGTAAATATAAAAGTGAACATAGAAGTCAACATGCAGTCGACAGTCTGTTTCATGTATGATGCAGTCGTCAGGCCTGACGATTGCATCTGTTGAGTTCAGACTGTTCACTTTTATATTTATTCATATATATATATATATATATATATATATATATATATATATATGAGTAGGCATGGTAGAGTAGTGGATAGCGGATCGGATTGAGGAATGGGAGAACCTACTTCCAATTCTAATCGAATTCATTACATTCATTTATGTACTAATACCCTTGGAAAAGGTATTAATCCTCCTCTTCTATGGGTAAATACCAGGAGACTGGTTCCTTTAGCCTTGGATGGCAACTGGTATATATATATATATATATATATATATATATAGCGTTAATCTTTTTTACTTTTCATTAGATAATATTTTCAAAAATGACGCAGCTTTGTGAGTGATTAGTTATATTCCACCCTACTACCCTTTTCCTCATAGACGAGAAGTTGCTGTTCTTTTTTCTAATGTATTGCTATTTTCATGTCCAATATTGACATATGCCACATTTGATAGATCCAAAAATTAAGACCTTCACAGCATGTACACGTTCCCTGCGTTGTTGAAAGAGAAATAATCGTTTGAATGTGTAATATTATTTGATGGAACAACTTAATTACGTAATTCCTGATATGGTTCTTGGGAGTTAATCATTCGAACGTTATTTTTCATGTCTTCCGATCCAATTCAAAGTCGTATACAATAACATGTCAACTTGTTTTATCAAGATTCACCAGACATAATTCTATTCTGATTAAACTGCTTCTTGTCCTCCAATTGTGATTTTGCTTTGACTGCTCGATTCATAATTTACGGGCGGTGAAATGTGTCATTAATTTTCAAACACCCTAATGGAAGATAAACTAATTCTAGACGCAGTTTCCTCCCATCCTGCAATGCGCGTCCAGAGTTTACGCTACAGATTATGTGAATCTCTTGAAATACAAACTCTACCATTGTACCGGGATCATGAATAATACAATTTCGGGACTTTAGTATTTGGGGCATGTTCTCTCAGTGACGCTCCAGATGTAATAATCCATGGGCTTTAAATCTAGAGAGCTAGTCAGAGATAACAGGATCGTGAAAGTGCTGGAGTTTATTTAGCAAGGGTTTCGTCAGGATCACCCGGGTACTATTGGATTTTAACTACCCTCTCCTCATAACGTAGGTTTTATATCTGATGTTTTCGTATACCACACGTATGAATGTTGACTGAGACATAGTGCTGGTTGGCAATAGCATTCGTTAATATTCTTGTTTTCGTAGCCGGGACCAACTCTACATTTCTGACAATTTCTGACCGTCGATAATGTTTTCTTTTTTCTTTTTTTTTTCATTTTTCTTTTTTGGTAGATGATGCATTCTTGCTAAAAGTCTGGGGTTCTTTTCTTATCTTAAATACGGTGGAACTGGCGATATTTAAAAAGTTGCCAATCCCCAAACCTGTGTGGTTGGCGGCTCAAGCAACGAAAACGGTATGCCTTTTTTTTTTCATCTCCCGCATTAGAGTCGAAGCTTCTATGGTGGGGATAGTGTTTTTAGTTCAGGTTAGTCACTGGTGGCGTGCTGAAGATGCTCTCTCTCTCAAATGCTTGACGCACTCTGTAATTTCACTTTTTGCACACTCTTTAAGTAAAAGTCTTGAGATTGAAAACTATTTCTTGATGAAGTAATCAATACCTGGTCTCTCATTTTACAGCGATATATATATATATATATATATATATATATATATATATATACTGATATATTACTAAGGTTTTTGGTTTTCTTGTTTTTCACTCTTTCAAATTTAATTTATGTTTTTCTCGAACACCAACATCCAATATCTGAAAGATTTTATTATCATTATATATATATATATATATATATATATATATATATATATATATATATATATATGTATGTATGTAATACATGAATCATTCATACAAAATTAGATTAGTAAAGTTAATGATATAGAATGGCGAAAAACTTCTTCGCAAACAAAATTTTTAAAGTTGAATTAACCCACGAATCACT